AGTATGAATCAAAAAAAAGAGGGAGCGATACAAAAACTCTGTTATTACCGCTGGTGACTTTTAGTTTTGTTTACTTTCAGTACGATTATGTCCTGTCCCGGGAAGTAATAGTGACCTGGAATCTGATCAACAAATTATCTTTTTCACTGAACTGACCCCTCTGCTGCACATGTGATTATGTGGGCAAAATCACTTAGATTACTGCACCGTCCGCATTGGTGCAGCACTCCTTCTCCCAGTTTTATATAGAGGGGTGCCATCAATGACAAGGGGTGACAGCAGTCCAAGGAACTGCACCAACACGACTAGCAAGAAGTGTGCCTTTGAGTCCACGCGACCACATCAAGTTCCTTGCAATAGAATTCATGGATTTCCACGTGGTCTTATCAGCAATAACTCATTGATGATCGTTATTTGCATACAGTTCTATGGGGGAGGGGGCAGTTGGGCGACGGAGAGGGGCATTTTACCCTTTTGCTACTTATCATCGACGTTTCGACCCATCTATAGAGCTACTTCACGAGCTTACCAGAGTCGACAAGTTTCATCAGAACGAAACTTGTAAACTGGAGAAAGTGAAGCAGCGAAAGTGCAAAATGCTGTCCCCCTCGTCGCCGAACTGCGCCTTCTGTGATGTTATTGACAGGTAACTAACCTTCCCATATAGCTGGTGACGGGGAGTGAGCGTTTTCGCACGATCCTTGGTAATCAGGCCTTTGCTGTTCAACAAGAATATCTTTTCACGAGCTTGTTCTTCAGTTAGTCCTTCATCCATCATCTGCATCACGCATAACTCAGCTATGCCCAAGCCGGCCTAAAAACCACCATGTAAATACCGAACGAATCTCAAAGATACTGTTATTATCTACAGCAGCTGAACAAGTATAGGTGCAGTCATGATCCCTGCAAACGATAGGGCGTGACTTGGAGTGTGGTCAAGGCAGGCTTCCCACCCACTTATAGTAAACACAAGATGACTTCTTTGGTAGGAAAGGTCTTGCTGGCTACGCTCCAAGCCACGCCTCGTCATACGCACTTTCGTTTGCAGGGATAATGAGTGTTGGATGCGGCGCAAATTCTCGGGTAGTTTGTCGTCATACGTGCATCGTGGAAAGAAAGCTCATCCTAGCCCTAATGCACCTTTACGAAATTCGCTCATAAAGCAGAGAACCCTATTTTGGCGCTTCATCGTTATGACAACTCAAAGGACCTCACCGATCCAGCCCCGAGGAACACTATTTTTTGCTGTGACAGTTTCGTTTTGGTGACACGAGTTGCAGCCAGAAGACCTGCGACAATAACCGCCGCCGTACCTGGAAACATTTTTCAGTTCTTTTTTGACTCACCAGTATTTAAGATCGACTTACCCTGAATATCGTCGTTGAACGTGCAATAATCGTTCTTATATCTGTCCAGCAATGTAAAGGCATTCGCAAAGGCAAAATCCTCAAACTGAACCAGCGTGTCACGACCGAATCTTAACACAAATCGGAACATTCCAAGCCTACAGTATATAACCTGAGCAGACGTCACCTCTTGGTTACTGCCTTCATGAAGTTGTCAATCAGACGGTCATATTCTGGACCGCGGACTCTTTTGCGTCGGAGACCAATGTAGAATGGGTCATCCAACAATTTCTGAAGCAAAGTAATCGCAATCAAGCAACTAGTCAATCTTGATTTTTAATTTTATAGTCATCCAGCAGCAGCTGTTATCGCGACTCCCCTGCTGCATACTTTTAGTTTTCCCGATGCTTGAGTGAGTAGAGTCTCCCCCTCCCCATCTCCTTTGGCATCCTTCAGAACCCATGACTGCGGCCACGACTAATCTTGAGCCATTTATCTGCTTAATGAAGTGTAAACAAGACCTGATTATTAGTGCCGACGTCGAGAACAACCGGAAGACACCACTGAGGTTGAACTCCACCAAGGGCAACATAGAGACCCAGTTTACCAACTGGAATTTCCCATGCAGTCAGTGCGCCAGATTCACCCAGCGAGAATACGTTCAACCATCAAGCACCCACTGTATAGCCTGAAAGGTGACAAGAAGGAAATTATGAACGAAAAGCGGGAGTTCGCATCACCTCTTGCAAAGATTCTTGAGCTGGACTCTTACCTGTACGTCCTGTATTGGCCAATTGCATAGAATTTGATAAATTTTACTAATACTGTTGTCATTGATGGTTATGTAGAGTCCTCTGAAAAATAAGTTGTAGAATACTGTGCATAAGTAGGATAAATCTTAGACATGAAAACCACTGTATCTTTGGATGCCCGATAGATGAATCCAAACTTTTTGGCAGGCCAAACCGACTGTAGGGGTATACACAATAGGCATCAATTCTTTTACATTTTCACAAAGAACTCGATAGAATAATTTTTCAGTGCGACGCTGCAGCTCATCCATGATGATATACCTTGAAAATACAACTTGTTCCAGTAGAAGATTACAGAAAATCCCAGGTTGCTTGCAAGTACGCCGGAAGTTCGGGCGTAGCAATCGATATCCGTCCTTCTCAGAGAATAAAACTACGTCATACTTCGCGACTCGTACCATTCGGTCGTTCTAGTTGTGTTACTGTGAGCGAAGGCACTACACCGCCAACCATTGAACCGCTGCAACTTCCACTATTTCAATTATACCGGCTCGTTTTTTCCATGCTGCAATCTCGTCCCTTCACCAGACTTTAATACTGAACAGCTGACCCTTACCTTCACCTATTCTTGGACCAATAATCGGAACATTTCCGGATCAATATGATTAAATTGGAAGGTGCAGGGTTCAGCGATCAACGGCAGAGCGTCGTTGGTCAACTAGGCCACGTTCATACTTGCGATTGAAATAGATTCGGCGATTCGAGGAACTGAGCGAACGACGTCTCCAGAAACTCGATGATCCGGCGTTTTAGGAGATTGAGCGATCCGGCGCTTTGGAAGACTCGGCGATTCGGGCTGTAGTGCGCCAAGCGAGTGGATAGGTATCGATCAACGCTAGATCGCCGAATCTACGCATCGCTGGCGACCGGAGCCGATCGATACCCCACTAACTTGACGCGCAATCACCCGAAACGCCGATTCGCCCAGAACCTCGAATTGCCGATCCTCCCCAATGATGAACGATACCTTCACTTTCCTCGTCGAACAATCTCTCGAATCGCGAGCTTTCCCGAATAGCCTAATCGCTCAGTCGCAAATGAATGCGGCCTCAGAGAGGTTGCATTAGTCAAGTCGGTGAAGTATG